ATGATAAGGAGGTAATCTAAGAACTTCGTGTCCGTGGCTTTTGAAAATGTCGTTAATTTTGTATTGTTTTGGTCTATTCCGAAATGGTTGAGTTAGGTCCCATAGTTGTTTTTTGGTCATTTTTGTGTCGAAGTCTACGTTTTGTTTAACCAACCATTCCTGCATTTTGTCTTTCTTTGAAGAGAATGAAAGTGGTTTATCCTTCCGCTCTGAATGATATGGAGCGTTGTCCATGATTATTACACATTTCTCTTCAAATATATTCAATGCAGGAATTAGTTGATCAACGACCCATTTTTGGAAGATGTCCGCGTTCATGGTATTGTGGTAGTCTCTTGTGTCTTGAATCGAGAAAAAAATTGCACCCATCTTAAAACCCAGAACTACTCCCCGCATGCAAAATAGTAAAACGTTTCCCCTCCGACTTAATTTTGGATGAGTTGCTTTTCATATCAGATTCGTGTATCCATCGACGAACTTGAGATCCGTTTTGGTAGATCCAAGTTCCATCTAAATACACAAATCTGATATTTTCGTTTGAATGTTTATATTGGAGGTATTTCCGCAAAAATGTAATTTTGGCAGCAAGAACATGTTTCTGCTCACATAAAATTTTGCGTTCATTTACTGTTTTAAATTTATATCCCATATATTTTAAAAGTTTATATAAACTTCTTTGCCCTCCCTTAATTTCCAAATTTTCTTTTGCGTATGTCAGTAATGTTTGTAATGTAAAATATTAATTTTTAGAATTGTATTTCCAAATTTGTCGTTGTAAATCTTCTTTAAACATTCGGTCCATAATAGTCTCTGTCTTTTTCGGTCGGCTTAAAGGTTTTTTGATTGTATATTGTCCAGTCAAAATTCTTTGAATAGTCCTAGTTCCCAACTAAAATTTAAGGAAAATGTTGGTTGGGTAAGAAATGGCTTCACATCTACATTTAAGTTATACCTACCTCAAATATATCTGCAAGTTGGGCTTCAATTGTTCCCTGGAGAGCCTCTGGTTTTTTTTTTTAAATAAACATGACATTTTAACATTTCCCTTTTTTTTTCTTCTGAGATTATTTTCGGCATCTTCAATACGAAAGAAATTTGACAATGCCGAATTTCAAAAAATGTCATCAGATATAGCATTATTGAAAAATGCATTGAAAAATGCATTGAAAAATGTGTCAAATTTGATTTGCCAGATAGGCCAGAAAATTTTAATACCGCGGCATTTACGAAATTATGTAAACCACACTTAAAACTGTCTGGAATTTGACATATACTCTCATTATTATACGAGGGTCAACCTGCCAAATTTCCATGGATAATGCTACGCCAATAATAAGTAAAACCAATATACTGGGAAAAACTTCGGGCCAAGAGAAATCGAATGGCGCAAACCACAGGTAGCTAGCACACCTGGTTTAAAAGTTATAAGCTTTTAAAATGGGTCACTCTCGGCTGGGACACCCTGTATAAAAGACCCTGTCTCTCTAGTTAGGTCGTCATTATTCGTCATTATTAAGTAAGTTGAATTAATGACCAATATTATTGTAACTTGTATTTTAAAATAAATTAGTGTTTTTTTAAAAAGTGATTTCAAGAGTTTTTGAGATAACAATTTGGCGCAGTCGGTAGGATCTGTCAACATTGTCAGAACAAGAACTGATAGCGGCGGATTTTAATCCTTTAAACAGAAAAAGAACGGAAGAGTCCCAACTCGAAGTGAACACGACGAGAACACGACGATTCCATGGAGCCTATTCTTTTGATGTAAGTACCTAAAGAATTGTCTCGTTTTTTTTTTTTTTGTAATTTACTCATGATACTGTTCGATTTTTCAAACATTCCCTATTATTTTTTTGCATTTACCGTATTTTGCGAAGTTTTATTTTATCATATTCTAAAAAGTTTGTCAACCATTTTCTTTCGAAATATTATTTAAATCATCAAAATGCCTAATTAAACCAATGAAACCACTATGGAAGTTGAACCATACAAGCTTTCCGAAATATTTTCGATAATTCCTGAATTTGAAGGAGATCAAATCTTCTTATGAAACTTTATTAATGCATGCGATTGTGCCTACAATATGGCAACCACGCAGCAACAAGTTTTACTCATTATTCACATTAAAAATAAGCTCAGAGGTAGAGCAGGTCAACTGATAAGTTCTCGAATCCCCAATTCCTATTTGGAGATCAAACAACTTCTGAATTTATACTTTGGAGATTCTAGTACATTCTTCTATCCAAAAGTCACCACACCTTAAAACAGTAGATCAAAAAGAAGCACAGTCCTCCCTTGTGGAATCTATGGCCCTAAACACTCTTCTTACAGGCATTGAACCTCGCTTTGGCCAGATTATCGGAGCTGGAAGCCCACACATTCTTTTAGATGCTCAATGTAGAATCAGGAGAAAAATACAACTTTCCAATTTTGAGAATCAGAAGACTCCAAAAACCCCTGTTCAAAAAGTTTTGAGCAACAAACCACAATCAGCCATGAAATGCTTTTCTTGCAGAAAAATTGGTGGACAGACAACAATCTTCCAGTCGTTCAAACTTCACTAAATACCCATTTCAAAATTTCCAAAAAACAACAACAGCTAACTACTCAGGCACCGAAAACCAACAACCAATGTTCCGCAAAATAGAACTCAAAATGCATCTACTTCGAAACAATTCGTACCAAGATACGCTTCAACTACCCCTCAAAGAAACCCCAATTTTTACCCTTTCCAGCAAAAAACGTATTATCTTTTAAATGATTCCTCTAACAAAACATATGCCAACGAATTTGAGTACGCTGAAAGCCCTCATTATGAACAAAATGCTAGTTATGACGAAAACGAATATGCTGAACAGTTCATTACTGTTCCGAACGCTGAAAATTATCAGGATTTTCTGGTACCTCTTAACAATCACCATCCGCCAGAGAATACCCCTCAAGATCATACTTCGAATATCGAGACTCAAATACAACTTTTGAATCTAGACAACATGAATCCGAACCTCAATTTTCCGGAATAAGCATTTCTTTAAACCCACTTCTTACTGTTAATTCGAAAAATCTGTACTACATTTATGATGCTTCCAATAAATTCAGATTACCTACAGTGGCGGCTCGTCAGTGCCTCCCCTGTAAATATGCTACAAAATGCATTTTTATATAATTTTCACCCAAAAAAAAAAAATTACCTAAGACGCTAATTTTTTTTTGGGTTGCCTCCCTCAAAATAAAAGTCACGGGCCACCACTGATTACTTATTGATACAGGTGCAGGCATTTCAATCTTTAAAGAAAATACTGTGAAAATGAAGAAAGATTTTCAAAAGGCCGATTCACATAATCTGCCAACTGTGGACGTTATCTACTATTTTTTTGTTTATTTCGTTATCTACTATATGGTATCAGAATGTGTCGACTTGAATCAGCTCCAGTCCATTGGTGAAGAGAAGTAAAACACACGTTATTAGATGTAGGTATAGTTGCATTTGAACAATGATATATAGTTATTTACCTGTAACAAGGGCGAAAAGTAATACTTTCCCGCACGCAACGGCATTTGCACGAACGACAAGCCAGCGGAATTCGTGCAAGCCGCAAGTGCGGAAATAGTATATTACATACCGAGGTGGAAAGTGTTTCATTACTGTCGATAGATTAGTTAGTTAACTATAATTTCGAGACAGGAATGAAACTTTCTACCGAGGTTTGTGTACTATTTTATTTACAACAATTACAACCCTCATAATTTCGACTATAGACTAAAAAAAAATTTAAAAATTTGTTGACAAGTTCTGACGTATCTAAAAAAACGTTTGACATGCAGTACTCGTCTTAAACATTTTAAAAAATGAGAACTTACTTTCCACCCGGGTGGAAAGTGAGCACTTTCCACTTGGGACCACTTTCCACCCGGGTGGAAAGTTAAATTCAAAAAAGTGTCACTTTCAAACTTTTGAAAAGTCAGTAATGTCAACATTACGTATGTGGTTGTAAATAAACATACTTCATGCTGTCAGGCACATTTTTTCTATGAGCGTGTGAAAAAAGCGTCTTCACGCAACAATTTGCATGCGGAAAGTAGCACATTTTTGCACCACGTAGAAAAACACGCACGTAGATACCACTTTTTTCGACTTGGTTCAACTTTGTTTGAGTCTCCCATCATTACACAAACACAGATAATTGGAGTGAATGAAGCTTCTTAGGATAAAGCAACAGTCAGCAACACAATAAATCCAATGTAAACTTGTAAACAAATCTCGCAAACGCGCCAGCTGATTTTTCGCTCCGCACAGTTACGTCACAAGCGGTACTCTCGCCGCAGGGGGTCGTTTTGCTAGCCTCGCTAATTTCGTTTTTTTGTTTTCGATTTATCAGAAAAAATAAAGGGTTTCTAGATGTTTTAACGCTTAATACGTGTTTTGTGGACCTAAAACCACCACTTTCTATTACAATTGAAAAATAGTGAACATACCTATTGATTAGAAACGAGATATAGGTAATGAATAAACTCTAATTTAAAGATGAGAGGATCCCCCTATACCTACTTATCGCTGACAACATTTTTCCTCTAGAGTAGAGTAACTCTGTGAGTTCGTCGAACTCAAGAAAACACAAAAATTTATAGAAAATCAATTTTAAAATTTCTAATAAAAATTAGTTTCTTCCTATGATTTTATTAAAACAAAAAATGTCCAAGTGCTTTGAAACAAACTTATCATGTTTTACAGTATACAGTAACATAAATCCTCATCCCACTAATCTTTGTGAAATCTTATGTTTAATTTAATTTACGTCATTTACTTATAAATAGGGCTACTGTGGCGCACATATTGACATATATTTTACTACTGTTTGCGGTGCCGCAAAAATTAAATTTTTAATATCGTCGTTAATATATAACATATGATATTCCATGAAATGTTAGCACTTATTATACATAGAAATAATGTCGCAAACTAATAAGGGGAATATATTATTTTCCAATAATAAAACACATTAATTTTATTATTATATTCAAATTATTTATTTCGTAATAGAAGTATGGGTATTAGGTACGGCAAAGCCGAAAACAACAGATGATTACATAAAATGACTAGATTCAAACAATATAAAAAATAAATTAAATATAAAAGATCTAATTTGTTCACATGCGAAATAAAAATTGTTTCATACTTAATGTCTGTATTTTTACTGTTGCAACAAAAAAATCACCCTCCTATGCAATAGATAGATAGAAAGTAGCACCAGACCAAACATAGGCAAAAAGTATTTCAGAAGAGAAAATTCTTCACCTTTTTGAATAGGCTTGTGTTATCGTTGCATATGTCTGGTTTATGAGGCAATCTGGTACACAAAAAACCCATAAAATCTTGTCGAGACTCATCTTGATCATCAGAATTAATGACAATACTATTATTAAGTACTAATGTCGGTACAAAGTATAGGTTCGGTTCCAATTCCTGAGTTCTATCTCCATGAGCGGCTAAAAGTTTGTCTCCTTCTCTTGATAGTGCACAGGAAACCAATTTATGGTAGTCTACTTGATATCGTTCAGCACACTAAAATTACAAGTTGTTTTATTAATACTTAGATAGATATGAGTTCTCTTCAGAATCTTCTTACTGCTTTGACATATTCTAGTTTTCCAGGATTGTATGCTGACATAACGCACACAACAAATTCAAGTTTTGTGTCCGGGTTATCAATTTGGGCTAGCCCGCAAGCTTGGTATTTATTACCCAAGCATTCTTCTTTTCCGTGTTGGCACGTGAATGTGTAATGATCAGTCGTAGAATTATAAGTGTGCTAAAACAGAAATTAGATGTTAGTAAGAAAAAACGCAATAAAATATTATCAGAAACACAGAACATTTTAGGCCATTTATTAGTCTCTTATAGATACCCTAATTTTAATGAGCATAAAAGGTACTCAAAATTATCTACCCTTGACGTTACACAAGATAAGGGTTCTCTATCTACGACGAAATCACCTTTGTTATTATATTTTTATTTACTTTATATTATGTACCTAAGTTATATTAACCAATTGACACGCTAATTAATAATCAATTATCCATTTTTTATATGCTTTAATGAGCATACCCCTTTTTTAAAAAACTAAAAGAAGTTCGAAAAAGTAAATTCTTCGGTAAAGTGGAATTTGGATTATGAGAGCTGCTATTAAACGTTCCAGATACAGTCTACTTCCAATTGGTTAACTGCTTAAAAAGAATAACAAGAAACAACGTGTGAAGAAAGACTATTGTTGTTAGCATCGTGCCTAAGTACATCCTCTCTCTTTAAACATTTTGTAATTGTTAGTAATTGGTGGTAATTAGGATTTTTGGATTTTGGATCCTTTGGAATTTACAAAATTTACAAACACAAAATAATTTCAAATAAAACGCAACCCTGAATAATTAATTTTAATTTTAAAATAAAAAATAAAATTTTTAAATTTTCAAAATAATTTTTGTCTTTATAATTCTAATTCAAGAAGTAACCAAAATCAAAGGCCAACAGTATCAAATCAAATTGTTCAATTTATCAAACCTTTCAGTGGCGGAAGCCAATATTTAGAATATTTCATAAAAAAAAAAATATTTGCAATATTTCATGAGAAACATCAATGAATTTCATCAAACCTATTACATTGAAAGAATATGTGGTTACCGCCATAAAATCAAAATTCATAAATGATGAGGGAAATTTTCATATGGCACGTCCTGATTTACAAACATGAACCGATATAAGAGAAGCGTTGAGAATAAAATATGGTGATCAATATTCTAGACAGAATTTGGTACAAGAGCGTCTATACCATCAAATCTAACAAAGACTAAAGACACTATAATAATTGAGTATACCAATTAAGAAAAGTTTTAATGATTCAAAATCCGAAAACGTTGGATGCAGCTAATAAATTTATGTTAAATTACCTGACCCTGATGAAAATTTCGAAGCTGAAGAATATTCCGGAAATCAGAATTATTATGAAGAGACAAATTTTGGAGAAAATCAAGTCGAAACTGAAGACGAAAATTTTCAGTTACCAGCCTTGGATGCAATGAGTCAGCATTAACTTTAAATGCTCATCAGATCAACCAACTACCTTTTATTCAAATAGACTATCAACCGCCTCTTTAATAAGACCCTCAGTCGCAGAATTTTTTTTTTTCAAATTCTGTAATTAATTCACGAAATAATAATAACAACTTGTATGGGTACCTACAAGAAAAACCCAAGGAAAACTCAATGTTCCAATTTTTCAAGAATATAATATTCAAAACAACATTGAAATGAAAATGTATAATTTCCATGACTATTTTGATGGAATTATTGGAATCAAAGCATTGTAAGAAAATAATTTGATTATAAACTTTTCTAATATGCTTCTTCCTAATAATAAAACAACAATTCCGTTTCAATATAGAACAGATTTCGAAAATCAGAATTTTTAGATTCCAAGCAACTCAATTCATGTTTGTTATTCCAGTACAAATATAGCTGATGGCGTTGAAATTCTTGCACCATCAATAAAAAATGAAACATATTATATTCCCTCGAAAATAACAACAGTCATGAATGAGATGGTAGCATTAGAAGTACATAAAGAATAAAATGAATAAGCCTATTCCTAATATTCTCTCGTATAATATCATCAACTTGGCGGATATGAAATACAAGTGCACACGAAAACGTATAGATAAATAAAGAAATTGTTAGAAGATAACATAATCAGACCATCCTGGAGTCCCTGGCCATCCCCTATGTGGATAGTACCCAAAAAAGAAGATGCCGCAGGCATACAAAAATGGAGAATGGTCGTTGATTATTGAGAGATGAACGAAAAAACTATTGATGATAGATATTTACTACCTAATATCACTGATATACGGTATCCGCCAAAATAAACAGTACCGAAATCTAGAGCTCTGAGTTATTGCGCACGCAAGTTGCATTTATCATATTTCGCTTACTTGGCATTAGCTATGAGGTTGACATTAAGTTAAGGTTAAAATCTTCGTCATTATGTATCTGTCAACTTAAGAAACAGTTTTCGTAGTAGATCACTATTTCTGGTCATACGGATTTGGAAGGAAAAAAGGCTCAAGTGTATTAGGCCGAATTGGTCGTAGTAATTATTTCACGACACTGAATTTAGCCTCTGGCTTTCATCAAGTGGAGATGCATGAATATTCGAAACCCAAGACAGCATTTGATGTTGAAAATGGTTATTACGAATTTAACAGAATGCCCTTTGGATAAGAGAACGCACCAGCAACCTTCCAAAGAGTGATGGATAATGTATTACTAGGATTACAGAATAGAATATGACTAGTATACATGGATGATATAATAATTTTTTCCACTTCACTTCATGAGCATGTGAAAAATTTGAAGAAAGTATTTGAGAGACAAGAAGTTTAATTTAAAAATTCAGTTAGACAAATCAGAATTCCTACACAAGACAGTCGATTTCTCAGGACACGTAATTAGTTCTAATCGAATACAACCGAATCCAAAAGAAATTATGGAAATTAAAAAATTCCCAATACTAAGGACGGTGACAAAACCAATGACACCTTACTTGAAAAAAGACAAAAAAATAATACACAATGCAGAATTTCTTGACAGCTTTGAAACTATTAAATGTATTAATAAATGACCCCATATTACAACATCCTGACTTTTGGATACCTTTCTTATTGACAACAGATACCTTGAGCTATGCAATTGGAGCTGTTTCATCTCAAGGTCCTGTCGGAGCTAATCTTCCCATTGCATACAAATCTAAAAGATTGAACCCAGCTGAATGTAATTATTCGACGATTGAAAAAAAACTTTTAGCAATCGCATGGGCAGCAAAATATTTTCGACCTTATCTTTTTGTTAGAGAATTCACAATTTTGTCAAATCACAAACCTTTACAATGGCTATTTAATGTTAAACAACCGAGTACTAAATTAGTCCGATGGCGATTAAAATTTTCCGAATTTGGTTACGAGATCAAATACAAAAAAGGAACATTAAACATAAATGCAGACGCACTATCAAGAATTCCTGCAATACAACTTCATGCCATTCACAAATCAGATCCAGATGCCATATTAAAAACTTCAGATGAAGAATTTCACAGAAAACTAAGAGAAATGCTGAAAGATACACCATTATGTAATGATAAAATCATAGCAAAATACTTTACCTACGAGCGTGCGGTAAAGTGCACTTTACCGCACGTATTTGCAAATGGAAAGTAGCACTTTACCGCACACTATGCGGTAAAGTTAACTTTACAGCATAGTGTGCGGTAAAGTGAACTTTACAGCATAGTATGCGGTAAAGTGGACTACAAAGTGTGCGGTAAAGTGCACTTTACCGCATAGTGTGCGGTTAAGTAGAATTTGATATTTATAATCAAAAATCCTTTTTTTTTCCAGAAAATGGATTTTTGATAATTTCTAAATCTAATCTAATTTCATTCATTAATCTGATTCAATAATTAATTTTATCAATGCCCTTTTTTGGAGATGTAGATGCTCATAGGTAAAATTTTGTACCTAACACATGCGGAAAGTGCCTTTACCGCCCTTAACGGCTTGACCGAACTCCGCTTCGTGTCGTCCGGTCAACTGCCGTTGCGTGCGGTAAAGTATCACTTTCCGCATTTGTTAGGTAAATAACTATTAAAGACTCTAAAGTATATCTTCCTAAACAAAGCGAGGAAGCTAAAGAAAAAGAGGTAACAATGTCTTAATCATCTCAATCAACAAAAACAGCATCAGAAAGAGAACCTGAAGAGGAACCTAAGAAAGGTAGACCCAAAATAAAAATATCATCCCAACTAATAATACCTCCAAGAAAGGATGAAAATAAAGAAATTCCCATAGAAATGGGAGAATCTTCAAAAACTCAAAAAAGTTAAAGACAAATAACACCTTCGGATAACGAACAAACAGTTCCAGCCCTGTCTGAAAACGAGCAAACAATACATACGTCTATGGAAAATTCAATATTAGGAGTTCCATATGCCAAGAAACATGTAAATGTAGTTTGAAATCAAAGTGTATTTCGATGTTCCAATAATAACACAATTAGAAAAGAGATAATCGAACTATTTGGTAATAAAAACAGAATAATATTCTTCTTACCAATTAGTCCCACAACATCACAAATTACTAATTTAGTAAAGGAATATATACCACCTGGTATTTATTACCTCCATTTTCTAAATAAATCTCTGGAACCTATTGTGATACAAAATTCAGTTTCATTACACAACTCCAAGAAATCCAAACTCGAATAGTCCAATCGAAAGATTCTATTCGATGCTAAGTGAAAGTATAATGAGTTTAAAACTTCAAAATCCAATTAAGAGTATTATTGATCTAATGGCAATCGCTATATTGAATTAATTATAATAACAGTACTCATAGTACAATGAATTACACCCCTTTCCAAATGATTAAAAGAGATTTGAATTATGCCATATCAATTGAACACACAGGAACTAAACTGACTATATGAGAAGCTTGGCAGAATCCCTCACAAATCTGAATAAAGAAATTAAAGAAAAATTGTTAGAGAAACAAAGTCTTTAGAATCACGCAATAAGAATCGTGAAATCAAACCAGAATTGCAAGATCCAATTTTCGTAAAACAAGTCAATAGAGACAAGATAAGTCCGCGTTATGATAGCAAAATACAGAATCGCTTTGCTTAACAAAATGTTAAACAGGTACTTCGAGATGAATCCTTTAGTATTCCTTACTCTCTCGTTGGAGTAGTAGTAGTAAGTAGTAAATTTGATTTATTGTCCAAGAATACAAAAATCTTATTGACAAAGCTAACCTAACTTAAATTAAATTTTACAACTAAACCTAGAAGCCAGCAAGTCAACAATATCTATCAAATTAAAACTAAAGTAGGCAATAATTTACAAGTGGAGTCACCCAAGCGTATACATTGATGCCGGTGGAAAATCCTATCTTACCAATTTTCTTAGGAACTACTTACGTAACAACTCAACATACCATGGCCTATTATCACAATAATACGACAATTATCTTACAAAGTATACAGAAATTAAAGATAACCTTAATGAAATTATCTGAAATACTAAATAAAACAACATGGTCAGTCCAATTTGTTGCACTGTTTCAAACAAATATTGAAACCAGTTATTCTCGAATCAAGATCATGAAACAAGTCATTAAAACCTATCAAGGCCGAATACGAAATAAAAGAGGTCTATTAAATTTCATAGGTACAGCACAAAAATTGCCCTACGGAACCCTGGATGAAGACGGCGCAAGATATGATTCTTGTATCCAGACGCTCAATGACAATCAAAAGACTCTGAATAAAGATCTAAGAACACAAGCTCAAGTATTGAAACAAGTTACAAAAACATTTCATGATCAATTTCTAACTATTGAATCTAACCAGAAGGTTTTCTTTTCATGTGTGCAATATTAGCAATAAATTTTGCACAATTGAAATAATGCAATACTTATACTATTTTACAGCATAATGAATTAAATCAAATAATAACAACTATTCCCAAAAGTTAACAAATACCTTTTGATAATAAAATTAAGTATTACGAGACAATAAAAACTCAAGTAAAAATTCAAAATGAGTTAATTATATTTGTTATACACACATCAATGATTAATCCCAAGTCCTTTATCTAATATATAAAATTCTCATGTCACAGTTTTAGTGACATTCGTTCTTCGAAACGGCTTCACCGATTTTTATGAAATCTTCTATGTATATTCGGTAGGTCTGAGAATAGGTTTTAAGCTATTTTTTATACCCCTAAGTGATAAGGGTGGTCCACCCTAAAAAAAAAAAAATTTTTTTTGCTTTTCACCACTACATAACCCAACTTATTTTTTTTGTTTGCGCATTCAATGCCATTCAACCGACGTAACAGTATCATCTTATAGCATTTTTGGCTTTACTGCTCCGAGAGCGCTCTCTATTTGGGCGGTGACGTCGCAGATCTCTGCGGAAGTGCTCCGAGAGCGATTATGATCCAAGTGAGGGCACCCTATTTGGAATCAATAGACGAACGTACTTTAATTGTTTTGTTTTGATCAATCATTGATCTATCGAATTTGATGGAGCAAGGAATAGCGCTCCGTGTGAGATTTGAGAGCGTTTATTGCTGAAGTCGAACACGTGAATCCTTTTCGGATCGCTTTTTGATCAATCGGGAGAAGTTCTGAGACAAAAGTCAGAAGCGCTATTATTAGTATATATTATATATGTTACGGTTAATATGCAAACTTGGCTAGTTTGTAAATTAGCTGAATAGTTCACAAACTAACCAACCTACTGACTATTTTGATAGAAAACACAATTTTCACTAAAATAGCAGCTAGTTTGCAAACTAGCTAAGAGTCTTGGCTAATTTACTCGAAATTATTGAGGAAACTAAAATAGCTGGTTAGTTTATAAACTATCCAATGCAGTTTGGCTAATATGAAAACCATATTTTCTAGTAACACAAAATAGCCAAACCTTTGGCTAGTTTACAAACTAGCCAACCAATTTTCTGGCTAATTTACAAACAAAGTTAGGTTAGAGAATTTGAAGCTTCTTTAAAAGATCTGTATAATAATAAATCAAATAATTCCCAATTTTACAACGAAGGAAATCTGGCAAAATACTAGCTTGTATTGTATGGACGATTTGTTTGATATTATTAAAGAATCCCACTAATCAACTGGGCACGGCGAAAGGCAAGTTACAACAAAGCTAATAAATCAAAAATATTCAAATATTACCCAAAAAATTGTAATTTTGTTCCTCAATGGATGTGAGAATTGCCAGGTAAAAAAAGAAAAAAGCAAAAGTTTTCATATTATTCATCTCTAATTTATCGAATAACAAATACCATGAACATTAAACTTTATTTGTGAATTAGCCAGAAAATTGGTTGGTTAGTTTACAAACTGGCCAAAGGTTTGGCTATTTTATGTTACTAGAAATCATGGTTTTCAAATTAGCCAGGCTGCATTGGATAGTTTACTACTACATTTACTGCAATACTTTATGGGAATGAAGTTGAAAATGTGTACCTTTGTAACCAAGAAGAGCTCAAGCAAGAAGAATCATGTGTCTATGACCTGATTACTGATAATGGACCACAACAATGTCCTTTCACCAAAGTGAAATATGCGAAACCAACAGTGAGACAACTCCCGAATGGACAACTTTGAGTCATCCCTTGCGTGAACTTCAATTTTGAACTGAAGATTCGAAAACTAGAGATTCCTGAACTTCCAGAGAATGAAACAATATTGGAACTTCAAGAAATCAACCAAGAAGCCATAGAAGAAGCCTTCAAGCCTTTCGAAAACTCTAATTTGAATACATATTTAATCATAGGTTTAAGTCTTGCTATTTTAATCATAATTTTAATGTTTCACTGTTTTAGGGAGTTTAAAACTTCAGAAAAAGGTTGTGCAAATGTGCAAATTGAATTGTCTGATTTGAATAGACAAAATCCTCGTTTGCAACATCTTAAGGGGGGAGGAGTAATATTAACCAATTGGCACGCTAATTAATATTCAATTATCCATTTTTTAAATGCTTTAATGAGCTTACCATTTTCCTCCAAGACTTTCCAAATACATTGTTGTAAAGTAAACATCAAGTTGCTAAATCGGCAATAAATTATTATTTAAGCCAGCGCAGCCCCATAAGGAACGTTCATTTGTTTTCAAGCTTTTGCTGTAGCAACTTGATACACCTATTTTCTCTTGTCACCTATGTATTTTAAAAAATTAAATAAATGTTTTTTAAAATACAAGTTTCTGAATCGAACATATAATTCCTATATTCAAAGCTGATTTTTTTCGAGACGATTTTATCATAAGGACTGTGACCTAAAGCGGTCACACTAATTACGAAGTCAATATATATTTATCTAAATTTCTTGTACCAGCAACTGATATGAAGTATTTTAATTGTTGTTAATTTCGAATGTCAAACTTATAATGAAAATATATCTCTGCAAAACCATCTATACTTAATCTGTTTTTTAATCAGAGCGTAGGTACACATAATTTTGTCAGAATGCATTTTATTATAAGTAGTTCATTGGCGTGCCTACATAACAGGAAAAATTAACGAAATATTCATAAGACTGCGAGCAGATTATAAATTGTTGAGGGAAAAACGTAATGTTGGTTGATTGTTGATTCCTAAGTAAATTTGGAATTATATGTACACTGAAACTATTATTATAGAATCATTATTTTATCTGAGCAACAAATTAGTACACAAAATTAGTTAAATTATTATGGTATTTGCTTTTTTAAAACTTAGGTGCCTGAAATATTACTGTTTCGTATACTGAATTAATTATCACATTTTCGGCATCTCGTTTCATACACTGACTATTGCGATGGCCTAATAGGTCGGTAGGTATACCTAATATGGGTTGATTTAGTTTAGTTTTAGCAGTTTAGCTAAAGCAGCAATTAGGCAGTTAAGTCTTAAAATATTGAACAGTGCGGTTTCGATATTTTAGAGCGATAAATGGATCTTTCAACGAGTTTTCCTGTTCTCTGTTCAGACGAAAACGGAAACCTTTGAGTTATAACGAGAAAATGTATTTGATAGCTTAAAGGCAAGACATTTGCAAAGCTCGGAAGCTAGTGTAATATGTAAAAATGAAACAGGATATGGAAAAAAACACGATTACCAAAATTCCTAGGGAGCGGAAAACAAAAGCTTTGAGTTCAAAATTGCTATTTATGTCCAATACCAAAGGCATTATGTAGATTATAATGCCCATAAGGTGAAACTATCCTGAGGGCCTCTGGCCCGAGGGATATATTTCGCCTGGAAAGTGAGTAGGTACAAGTTTTATTTGAATTTTTTTTTTGATGCTCATCAACTTAATTTAAAAGTACTATAAAACTTACCAAGGCTTTTCCATAGGGCACAAAATCCAGGGTAATTTTATCTTTGACAAATTGGTAGTTGGGATATAGTTGTCGAGTGATAAAATGAACACTATCTCCACATAACGCTTCGTAGTAAACGGTTACTGGCATAGAGGCTTTCTGTAATAAAGTTTTAGTTTTAATTTTAAAAGAAAAATCACCTAAAAATAATATTAAGACTTTGTAATACTTGAAATTATAGGTAAAATAAATTAGGAAGAAAAGAATATGGTATGGTAAACTAGTAAACCTTTATTTCAATCGAATTTGCTAGTTAATTGAAAAAAAGTCCAAAAGGATGGCAGTTTGGGAATTGGCCAAGTGAGGTTTAAAAGACTCTTGTTTGACTAAATATTTGCACTCTGTGATTAGATATCGCACATTCCTACAAACCGATAAGGAACATAAATATGGCTATTCAATGTAGGGATCAGTCAGCAGAAGCAGGTAGCTGGACCAGGCAATTTGGTCAGGTATTGTTAACAGGTATTCGAATCCTAATATAATTCAGTACCAGAAAGTATGATTACAAGAAACTCCACGGATTCGAATTCTGTTAAAATCTGAATGATTTTTGTTTAACTCGTAACAATTGAGAAAACCTGTGTGACGCACCCTGTACATTTAAGTAGCCAAAGCTTTAAACAAATGTTTTGACAAAGAGGTAATTTGAATATTGCATAATTACATCAGAGATTTTCAAAGTGAATAGATTAATTTCCTTTCTACTGCTTAGAATATGAAAATCTATAAAAAGAGTAATTGTATCAAAAATTTTAAACATCAAGTGAAAAAGCACTATATCAGTAAACAGTTCAAATATTGCCTGATGTCGTTACAGAAACACGTTTTTTTTTGAATTTTATCAAATTACTAAGTATAATATAAAGAAAACGATAAAGAAACGATATCACCTTAGTCCTCCAATTCTTACATGATTTTCAGTCATTTTGGTAAGTAACACACTATATCCAATTATTCGGAAATATAAAGCAATGTAACTTACTATGGATACAACAACAATACAAAGCACTAAACTCTTAAATAGGTTATTCATGTTTCCGAACGTTCAAATTTAGCTACCACTAAATTGAAACCGACGATATGTGTTCTTGAACTACGATGATAGTACTACACAATGCACATATTTGAGGCGTACCTACTACTAAGTGCTATGAGCCTTTGAACAATGTGTTGAGAAAAAAACCATAAAGGCTTTTATAAATAAACAATGCGGTTATCAAAATGTTAAACAAAATACAGTGGCAGGACTTGTGATAAGGAATAAATTGGTCGAATTTGTATTTCGGGTTATACTTTTAGTGATAATAACATTTCATGAGAATGACCTTTTTCGAATTTGAAAGAAGATTGAAAGACGCAAACAATAAGTGGTTTAGTAAATTCTTATTGACCTCTCAAGTCTTGTTTGGCAACACTACAATACTTACTCTATATTCTCAAATCAAATCAAATCATTATTTACGCATATAGCAATCACAAAGAGAATGGCATGTAATATTGACAGTTGAGTTGAAGAGGGCGCTTCTGTACTTAGAGCTCTTCAAATCTTGGCGAGTGAATAATCGAATGTAATTTTAACCTCAAAAGTCAAGTTTGATGTGTGGTTTCAAGACAAGCTGACGCTGACACTTTTTAAAATATTCTTTAAGGGCCACTGAACGTTCGGGAAGATGTTTTAACTTATTCACTGTTCTTTGTATGATGTAATCATCTTTCCTCCTACTTATTGAAACGATTTAAAACTATTGATACTTACCGCCAAAATTCAAAGCACTCCAAGTTCACTCGCGCCCTCTACAAAATTTTGGGGAACTTAACTGGATATTTGCTGCCATTTCATACATCTGTCAAAACTTACATTCCAACAATAAACTGACATGTTTTGATTGTTGATTTGAACCAATTAAATTGAAATTACACGATAATTACATAGTAACTGGTGCGAGAACTGGTGTTTTGACATTTTTTGACAAAAAAATTAAATTTTTGAATCATGAAATTCTCTCATAAAATACAACTCGTACAATGGAAATATATCTATAATTTTTGGGAAATTTGCCTGAATGCATTTTTAGTTGAAAAAGAGTTAGACTATTTTAAACAGTAAAAGTAATTACAACAAACAATAAAACGATGTTAAACTAAGAAAGATTAAGATGGCAGAAAAAGTATAAAACATAAAAAAACATTTTCACTATAGAGACCTATAACTAAAGCAATCAAACTATAATAGTTATTTATGCATCAAGGGAATTATGAGGGTGTTAATACCCCAGGGCAAAGTCTGTGTCCCGAGGGCCTCTGGCCCGAGGGACACCAATTGTCCGTGGGTTGTAACACCTGATAATTCCCGTGGTACATAGATAATTTTATATCCTACTGAATTTACTGTATTTTGTCTATTTTTATAAAGAAATAAACCATAAACCAAAATTTATATTTTTTCTCAAAGTTTAACCTATTCAAGTTAAAAGCGGGAGTTATGGAAATCCTTAACTTCCTTGGGAGTTATAATATCCTTAACTCCCTCGCGGGAGTTATGAAATCCTTAACTCCCGCGCGGGAATTAAGACCCTGTTTATGATTATCGTAACCAAGGTATTATATGGTTATAATAGTTCAGTAGGATATAAAAGAATTTTTTTCACTTGACCTCGAAATTTGTTAAAATTACAGTTGAAAAAGTCAACATTATCACCCAGTTGTATCACATCATTAGCTATTTTACACATTCTATTCAAAGGAATATTCTTACCATAGGTAGTTTGTTCTTTGAAATTGAATGCTAAATAAATCTCTACTTCTGGAGTTTCCCAGAGGTACATGTAAGCCAATCTCTGCAAGAAGATCTGGCGCGTCAATTGAATTGTTTATAAGTTTAAAAAGGATGGAGACATCATATAATTATCTACGTTTTTCTAGAGGTGAAAGATTCAGGAGTCTCGATATGTCACCACAGTTAATATCCTCATACGGAATGCCGAGCTTTATATCCACCCTTTTCAAAAATTTAGTTTGCCCCCTCTCTACGCTTTCTTCATGCACCCTACAACAGGGTTCCCAAACCGAGCTGGCATATTCCAGAACAGATCTAACCAACGCACAGAAAACATTCCTAAAAACAAAAATATTTTGAACCTCCTTCAACGATCGAAAGACAAATCCCAACAACCTCAAGGCTCTGTTGGACATATTATTAATGTGATAAGAAAAAGTAAGATCACTCTCTAGCCACACTCCTAGATCTTTCACCAGATTCTTCCTTTCCAACCCTACGGAATCAATAAAGTAGTCAAATAATATTGGCTGCTTCAACCTGCAGAAAGTGACAACATTACACTTAGCAATATTCAGGCTCAAGTTATTATTTTGGCACCAATCGAAGAAAATGTTAATCTGATTTTGCAGAGACACACAGTCACCATGATTATTAATAATTTTGAATAATTTGAAATCATCCGCTAAAGCAAGAAACAGGCAGTCATCAAGGACTGTCTTAATATCATTCACAAATACATTGAAGAAGAAAGTTGACAGATGTCCTCCCTGAGGAACACCTGACGTCAATAAGATTTCTGACGATATATAGTTTTTTATTTCAATAGACTGCCGTCTGCCCTTCTAATTACTTTCAAGCCACTGAAAAAGAGAGCTATCAAATCCAAATGCCCTCAGCTTTGTCTCGAACGCACCCAACAGGATTTGCTCATATACCAAAAGATTTGACACCGTGGACCTCTCCCTAGTGAACCCATGCTGTTTCTTTATAATGAAATTTCTAAAAAGAGGTGTTATTTTACCAGCTACCAATGATTCGAATACTTTTGTCATTGAAGAGATCTCACAAATAAGGCGGTAGTTTTTAACATCTGCTCTTTTCCCATCCTTAAAAACAGGTGAGACATAATTATGATTTCTTCCAAACCTCAGGGAAAACTCCAGTTTCAAGCGATTAGTTAAAAATATTACACAAAATTTCTTATACGACATATTTACAATTTTTCAAAAAAAGTACTAGAATTCCATCAAGACCCATTCCCAAATTTTCCCTTAAAATATTAATTTCATTAAAAACATCAATAGTTGACATCTTTCAACAATTTAAGTTAACAAACTTTTCACAAATAAAGCCAAAATCCGACAAAGAAGTATCAAATTGTGAGTATACCGAGGAAAAATATTCCTTAAACAATTCCGCAATATCCTGTGCATCATCAGTTTCCCGCCCATTCAGGAACATGCACTTTGGGTATTCTGCATTGGCTTTTCTTGAATTTATATAATTCCAAAAATTTCGTTTTGTCGTGTAACTGGTTTTCCAAACTTTGAATGTAGTTCCTGTAAGAAGACTGGGAAAGATAACGACATTCATTTCTTAAATTAGAAAAATAATTATAATCATCTTGTGACTGTGAGGCTTTATATTTTTTGTGAGCCTGCTTCTTTCGTATTATCAAATATTTAAGATCTGCAGACATCCATTTTGGAAATTTTGGACTTTTGATTTTTGAACGAGGCCTAAATGATTCAAGGATGTTATAGATAGATAATATCATAAAACTGCGATACTGCCACATTGATGTCGGTACACTCAGAAATGAAACTCCAGTCAACACAAGAAAGACAAAAATTCAGCATACAATAATCAGCATTCTTAAAATTAAAGTAAAAATAGTCACATGAAATATTAGACAGATTTTCAGTTACATTACAGGCACATTCCAAAGCCGGATGTGGCATATCCAGTCTTAGAAGCGGATTATCACATACAAAAACCTTGATATCTGGTTGATTGCAAAACAGTAGGTCAAGAAAGTTTCCATAGATATGAGGTGCATCAATTGACTGGAATAGCCCCAAATAGGTAACACAGTCAGCCACCGCTGTCACTTCTCTTGATAGGGGTCCAGTGGGTACTGAACTGAAATCTCCCCAAATAAAGATGTCACTGAAGGTATTGTTGTCAATTAAGTGAATAAGAGAAAAATAAAAGTCATTATAAGTGTTAAAAGTAGATACACCTGGAATGTAAGCAATACCCCCTAGGATTTTTTGTGAGTCTACTGTGACCGAAATAAATGAATGCTCAACACTCACAATAGGGGATACTAAAACTCTAGAAGATAGGGAATTTTTGACAGCAACCAAGACTCCTCCCTGAGTCTTGCATGTGCTAGTCATTGCCGATCTATCACATCTGTATACCTGGTAACCATCCAGGCCGAGTTCACTCGTTAAAATGTCACAATCCAGAAAAGTCTCTGTTAGCAAAATAACATCGATGTCCTCCACAAGTACATTGCATATCAAATTTTTAATTTTTGTTCTCACTCCTCTGACATTCTGATAATCAAATTTCAGAGCCCTTGATGATAAATGAGGGATATTTGAAAATTTCCATTTTGAGTAGGCGCATTTGGAATATAATGTTTTTTCCTAAATGCAAATGGTCTAGCAATCACATTCTCTGAGCAAAAGCTATTATTTATAAGGCTCTCATAGTAAGTTGTTTCAGTTACGCCAACTTTAAATGACTTTGATCTGGCCTTGAACGATAGTTCAAGCATAACCAGAGCACCTGTTTCTATAATATTAGCCTTCTATTTGATGTAATCAGATATCATCTCAAGTGTAGCATTCTCACTAACTCTACCCAGAAACAACCACTTTTTGCCAGGTACACCCCGAAAAAGACACTCTGGGGAAACATTAGAGGCAGTTGCCCCGTTACCAATAACATCAGAAGAAGCACAGCTATTTTTATTTTGTTTTGATTGGTTCTGTCCAATAATTGGTGGGAGAATTGTTTGGACGAAAGCATCATTAATTGCCTCTGCAGCTTGACTGCAGGTAATTACTGGGCAAGGTTCAGCTTTATTGGAATCTGAAGACGAAAAAGCTGAAAACACTTTCTTATTTGTTTGTCCTTCCTCTGTGTTTTTGTTTTGTTTTGATTTGAGGTTAGAGACAGATATTCTTCTTTTCAGTGGGGACCGGTCCGTTTGCTGTTGTCTGTCAAGCGGTGGATAAAGAGCTGTGTGAGGAAAGCAGGATGAGTTGTTATTGTGTACCTCTCTAGCCTTACCTCGCTTTTTTCCAAAATTTCAATTTTTTTACCCAATTCCTATTTTTTCCTCTCGATCCCAAGCAGCCCTCCCATGTTGGGCCAATATTGGGACAATAACTACGAATTATTGGCCCAAGTCAGATTCTCTATGTTGGCCCAATAAAAGATGTGGACAGTCTGCAATATTTGTCCAAGAACGTATGTCAATATATACCCAAAAACAAATACCAACGTTGGTACAATAACGTAACCAAATGTTGGCCCAAAAAGAAATAATCAATATCATATCAAGAACTTTATGCAATATAGAGCCAATTGAAATTACCAATATTGGCCCGAAGACGTATGTAAATCTTGGCATTATATTATATTTAATTAAGGTAACGGACGAATTATAAGGACCGACTAAGAAGTGTTTTCTCTCTGCCGGACCATCCGTGGACCGGTTTCGCTGTATCACAACTCATCAGCACGGTTAAGTCCCGCCAGGGTCCCGCAGAGAGAAAATGTCCAATTTTTGGCTTCATCCCGGAACCAGGTTTAAGACAGGTAAAGTGAAGACAGAGTCTCCATCTATTTTTTGGTCGGCACACCAAGTGCGCACATTGAATAACCTATACTGAACTAACATTTTCAATTCAGAAAATCTAACCTTGGTAAAAATTAGTATGTAAATATTTGCCCTTCATTGGGCTTTTCAAAAAGTATCAATATTGTGAAAAAATTGAAAATAAATATTGGGTGTACAAAGTTTTTGAAGTGAATTTAAATATCAATAAAAAATTGAAGGCCAATATTGAATTAATATTATATTACGATATTGTTTCGATAATATAAAATGTAATATTTGGCCAATATTTCATAAATCAATATTGTAGTGAGAAGTCTTGGGCCAATATTCAAATTACTGAAAAGTTAATTAATCTATGAAAACAATATTGGTACAAGATTATTTTTAAATATTGTTTCCACATAGTTGAAACTAACGTTGCCCCAATATTGGTACTGTGTTGATTTAGCAACAAAAATGAATAAATATTGGCCCAACTGAAAAATGATGTTTACCCCATATTATGTGCTACTTGGGATCTCAACCAATTTTGCGTGCAATAGCTCATTGTTCTCCATTGAGGTCAATACCAATTTATTCAGGATATCATTAACATGATTCACATCTCCAACACTCTCATCCGACCCTTTTGGCGCGCAAGGACACAAGGACGGAATTTGGACACAAAACAATACATACTCCAATGGTTCTTGCGCCCTTTACTCGTACCAAACACGAAGGATGGAATTGCCTAGGGCATTTCTCACATTTAAGCTCAGTTTTTACTTCACGTTTACAACAACTACACAAAATCTTGTCGATATTTCCGGACGACAAAACTTGTTGACAATCACTCTCCGCCATCTTAGATCTGCATGTTTTTTTTCTTACTTGTGATACGTTAAATATACGTACGATCATAATTTTATATAGTATGCACTCTGTAGCACAAAAAAGTATATTTTTGTTTAATATTATAACCAACTGCTTTTACTTTCCGAAAACTCTCAAATTGAAATTTGAGATCAAATGCTATAGGAAATAAGAGCACTGTATAGATTACTTAGACGCTCACTTGAGAAAAATTGTCTCGCGTTCAAAAGATATAACTTTATGTACAGGTCAATGCGTTATATTTTACGCGCGCGAAAGAAAGTGTAGGTACTGTGTTATAAGATAGTTAGCAAAACTGCATAGCCTGTTACTATCGTAGACTGTTCCTATCAAGTGACACACAAATGATCCCGCCAATAACTGACATACGTCAATAACATAACCTTCTTTGCAGCCGGCTTGTTGGCCTGAGAAATATACTTGTTTTTTAACTGGACCCAGTCGTGTTTTATTAAACTTTCTAGATCTCTATCCTGGATATGACAGGTAAAGTATTTTTAATCCGAATTGAAACACTAAAAAAACATCTAGTCGGCATACATCAAACAAATAAGGGACATGAGCATCACATAATTTTACTTTCTTTAAATGGTGATAATCGATATCAAACAACACAACTAAATGATAGGGAAATAAAACAGCAAATAATATATAAATTGGGATTACACTGGTTAAAGAAATCGTGTGGTCTAGCCAGTAACTAGCACACCCAAATAATTCTACTTACACAGTAAAAAAAATCCCGTGTATAATTACACGACAAAGTGGTAAACACGTTGTGTGTAAAAACTATACACCATTGTTCGTAAAGTGCCGTCCACTTAACCAACAGTATTTTGGTAAACTGATATCTTACACAATACAGTGTTGAATCAAAGTTATATCCTGGTTCCGTGTTACTCTTATGACAATGTGTAATTTTTTACACCATTCTCATTAAATGAACACCAAAAATGTTTAAATTTACACGATAGACGAACGTTTTTACGCTCAATAGTGTGTCGGGTCAAGCCCTCCGTCCTCTACCTTCTTTTGTGTGACAGTGATCAGTTCCAAGCGTGCTGATGCGCTGATGGGATGGTTGATGTTCGTTTGTCGTTGTCTACAATAAAAATCATTAGAAACCAAAACCAAAGTCTCCAAAACAGAGTTACGCCATAAATGAACAGTTTTTTAATGTGTTTTGTATGATTTTTGGAAAAGTCGCACATTTTCACGTCTATTCTGATTGAAAATATTTGATCCGATAGCTATTTTTATTTTATTTTAATGTTTATCCTCAATAATTTTAGTTTTACCAGTTTAATTTAATAGGTTTGTGAGGAATGGTCATTACCTATACCTCCCATTAAATTAAATAGGTTAAGCTGAAAAAGTTAAGGATGAAACATCAGAAAATAAAATAAAATAAAATAAAAATAACTATCGAAACATCAAATATTTTCAACAGACTAGTAAAAAATGCGACTTTCCAAAAAATCATACAAAAAACAGGATGTTCCATCCTGTACATTAACACTATTCGGTGTATTCTATTCAACACTGTTTTGTGTAAATACAACACGCATATTTGGAAATACGTACACTGTTGTGTGTATATTTAATTTAACTTAGTGTAAAAGTTACATGAGATAGTGTATTATGTTTAACACCGTTTTGTGTAAATTCTTCACGCAAATTCTCGTCAAATTTACCAAAAACCTTGGTGTTAAATATACACAAATTGGCGTGGCCTTATATAGACCACTTTTCGTGTAAAATTTTGCTTCATTTTTTTTACTGTGTATAGACGCGTGCCCACCTAAAACAAAAAATATTATTTTGGGCTACTGTAGGCGATATTTCGTCGCTGCTTATATTTTGTACAGGGAAACTTACAATAGATTTTCTATGAAATTAATAGGAGAGAGCGACATGATGTTGGAATATACTCGTATAATGTAGTGTTTCAAGTCAGAATAAAAATACTCAACCTACCTATGTACCATATGCGATTCATGGGACAGTCAAGGTTTTTTGCACAGAATGAAGCGATACTGCTCATCCAATATTATCCCCCATTCTAAAGCCCTTATCCAACACTACCAGGGCCTTCTTCAGCCTTCTAAGATGGTATACCACTCAAGGAATCAATTCCTTACGATCCAAAGATGACACAATTAAGACTGCTTAGAAAGTTCTTCCATTAATTCTTGTTGAAAGGAATACTTTCGGGAACTACTCAACAGAGACTCACAAATTAATAATGACATCTTCAACGAAATTCCACAGAAAACCAATACAACAAGATCTAAGCAAGGTTCCCAGATTAGAAGAGGTTGAAAAGACAATCAGACTTACAAAGAACAATAAGTCAGCTGATACTGATGACATTCCTGCTGATTTCTTTAAACAAACAGGCCCCACACTAATTTTTGAAAATGGAGACTTGGGTGGTTCAAACTCAAAATTTCAAGGTCAACCGAACCGTGTTAAAAAGTTGCGAGTTTATGTTTGAAATAACAAAGTTAGTGCTTATATTTGGTATAACCTGTATAGCTGAAGATCTGAAAATATTTTAGGTGATACCGGAGCGATTGATTATGGCTACAAACCAAATTTGAAGTTTCTAATCTCCCTGCAAGCTCAAAAACGTCTAATGCACCGGCTACGTAAATGACCCTGACATTGTTTTTATACACAGTTCCTTCAATTTTCCTGTGATTATTTATGTGAACTACAGGGGATCATGCCTTGTAAATTTCAGCTTCTTTGAAATGTCAGAAACCTCCCATCCATGAAATGTCTTAGAATCTAACTTTTTCAGACGAGTTGAATCTGGGATCCGGAAATGGAAAACTCAACAACGAAGGGCAAAAATTCGATAATAAAACCATGAAGACAAAATCTCAAGGAACAAAATACACTATCATTTATTGCTACCTAAACTATAAAAACAAACATATTTTATTTATAGAAAAAATTTAACAAAATTTAAAATTTTCTCTGAATAATAAATTATTAGATACTAAACTATCTGTGTTACATGTGGAACGATTTGAGAATCATCGGAAAGTCTTTTAAGAGACTGACATTGTTCCGGTTTGTTTTCCAAATATTTGCAAATAACACTTTTCAGATCAGTAATTGATTTGTTTGTATCGTCTATGTTTAAAACGTCATTAAACACAATAGTGGGAATAAAAGTTGGATTGAGCTCCTTAGTTTTCTTTCCATTTTTTGACATAATATCAGCACCTTGTTCAGACAATGCACATTTCTGTAAGGATGCCCAGGAAATTTCTTGTTGTTCGGCACACTAAAAGAAAAAACTTTGTATTTATAGTTATATTTTGCTTATTTTTTAATTATTTTATTTTCGTTCGATTTGGTTATGTGTCTTTTTTACATGTAGTATATGTATATAATTATCGCAGGTAAACTTACACTTTTTAAAATATCTTTTGAAGACGGTGGAGTTCCGTTTTCTGCGCAAAATATAAAGTTTTCACTTTTATCTATAGACACCTCATTTATTACACAACCATGTACTTCATTTCCATAGCATTCCTTAGGTCCGTGTTGGCAAGTGAACGTTTTAGTGCCATTTTCAATGTGTTCCTAAAAAATTGGCAGCAAAATAAAATAGTTTCACAAACAAAATTTGTATCGGTATAGGTACCTACCTTAGCAAATCCATAAGGTATTAACTCCAATTTGATGAGTTTGTCTCCGAATGTCTGATAATTTGGATGCAGTTGGTCTCTTATGAAAGCTATACTATCTGGACATAAACATTCATAATAAACGGAAATTTTGACTGCCAAAACGCACTGGAAAAATATACACAGTTTTGCTAATGATAATATTTTGAAACAAGAAAATATTAGTGTCAGAAAAAACATAAAATTATACTGATCGGTTATAAAAATAAATATTACCTACTAAATTTTTATTAAGTAGGAAGATACCTCACCTTCACAAATAATAATACATACGCACAAAATTTTAACAACTTCATATTCCTTAATAATTGACATACAATTCGAACTGCTGATATCTTCAACAATGCAATCAGTGGAATAAATAAAACATATAGCTATTAGCTTATCGGTCAAGCGATAGGTCAAAATGCGTTCAAGTGTTTATTCAATCTAAAATAACAAATTTAATGTTATGGTATATTGCCTGGAATGCACAATTGTGGTTGAAGTCCAAATATATTTTGATACTCCTACACAGGAGATGACCCTCATAAATCATCTGCAGATTGATTGTTTTTCCTTTTTATTTAAGGCTTCTAGACGACCGAGTATATTGTCAACACTGAGCCTGTTTGGGAAAATAACACACTGTACATCATGATTCAATAATGAGTTTATTACGAATCGACAAAACACAGGTCATAATTAACCTGGTTAATTATGATGAGACAAGCAATAAACGGATATAAATTACGCCGCGAGCCGCAGCAAAGGCAGACTTAAACCAATGCAATTTCCTCTCGTTGGGCAAGCCTCCCAGCGGGCAGTTGTGACATATTTGGTAGAGGCGCCTGGCATATTGACATATTTGGTGGAGGTGTTGTCGCGAATCCGACGCCCAAGAACCGACGCCGTTAGGCGTCTTTGAAGCAAGCCAACGCCCAACCACGTCACGACGCGGTACGTCGACAAGAGAAATTCACGATAGAGTGGCGAAGGCGACTTCCCGACACCGTGGCGAAGGTGAAGACTAGTAGATTTAAAAACTATTGTCAATAGAAGAATAAGTTGTGCCGGTTTACCGTCGCCATCGTGGCAAGAATAGATGCCAGACAAACCCAAATACAATTTGAGGCCAAAGAACGCAGCAGCAACAACACCAGTAGAATTATTCAGACGACCCTATAAGAGCACAGAATCAGAAAACGCGCTCTTTCTGCCAAGAAGATCACTGCAAAGATCACCACCAGAGTCGCCCAGTATCAGTTTAGAGCAGATTAACAGTGAGATAGAAAACCAAGCAAATAATCAAACGGACCTCGAAGAAGATGATATTTTTGGTGAACCACCAAACCCAACCCGTGAAGAACCATCAGAATCCCATCAGCCATCAGAAGACAGAGAGAAACAAACAATACCATGGCCAACACCACCATAACTCAAGCCATGGCAGCGGCGAAAAAGGCGATGGTACCACAATTTATCAGTTCTCAAACCTTCCACCCTTGTAAAGCTAGCGCAACTGAGTTCATAAGGACATACGAGAGGTCAGCAATAGCCAATGGATGGGATGACCAACTCAAGATTGCTTATCTTGAAACATTTCTGGACGGAGCCGCAAATCTGTGGTTTCAGGAGTATAAACTTAAATACCAAAACAACAGCTGGGAAGACATTGTAAAAGTTTTTTCAGAAGAATTCGAGTATGCAAATTACCAAATGGCACTCAAGAAGAAAGTGGAAAGCAGAAAGCAAGTCGAGGACGAATTAGTCAGGGAGTACTTGTACGAACTTCAAGTACTTTACCACAACTATAAACATACATTAGACATAGAAGAATTCGTAAGGATTTCTAGTGAAGGGCTAACTGACGCAAACCATTATAACTACTACTGGCTGACAAATCCACCAAACAACCCACCGACATCATTAAAATAATTGAAAGAAATAGCAAGCGCCATAGATAAAGCACGTAAGAAGAGCCCACAACAAAGCACACCCAAAGAATCCCATATTACGAACTACCCTACCACAAAACCAATAATGGTATGTCATTATTGTGGAAAAAGGGGACACGTGATGACCCAATGCAGACGCCGAATGCGAGCAGCGAAAGCTTCAACATCACCAGCAACCATCAAAAAGTGCTATAACTGTGAAAAAATGGGACATTTTGCAGCTGTCTGCAGAAGCCAAAGGTTAGGCGGTGACAGTAGTGGCAACTCAAGAAACCAGAGAAATAACCCTGTGTGCCACAACTGTGGGAAACCAGGATACTTTGCCGCAACTTGTAGAGGTCAGCCAAAACACACAAACAAACGAGGATGGCGAAACTAGATATCCCTGCTATCCTAGCCCTAGGGAACAACTTTAGTAGCAGGATATTATGCATCACAATCAAGATAACATAGAATACCCAGCCATAGTCGACACTGGAGCACAAAATAACGTCATTCAAACGCAACACGGTTCTTATTACGGCAGGAGGACACAGAATTCTAGTCTTAGGAGAAACCAGAGTACCAATAGAAATACCAGGAAGTCCGCTATGGAAAAGCACACTAACAGCCAAAGTGATCGCAACTTCAAGTCCGCTAGTAATATTGGGTATGGAATTTTTAACAAGGCACAAAGCAGTTATAGACCTCGCACAAAAAGTAATGATTCTGAACGGAAAATACAAAATTCCGCTATGCTATAAAAGTGAACAAAATGTCAACATCTCTGGGCTATTCTTCATGCAAGAAGACAAAGCAAGCAGAATCACACACACGAAAAGGACAATTTTGATGAATTTGTGAAAAACTACAAAAATATAAAAAAGAACAACTTCAAGAGTGTTTTGACAGAAGAATACAGGGACATCAGAAACTTATCACCGGATGAATTTTTAGCTGTGGGAGTCGACCAAAATTCCAGAACCAAAAAGGAAGTCTACAAAAACACATCCTCCCTAGGAAAATGAAACAGGAAAACATTGGAAATTTATCGGTGGTACAGCACAAGGGAAATACAACGTTTTTCCTGTTCACAAGGGAAACATGTAAAAAGAAACCAACGCCAAAAAATATTTTCAAATGTCTACTAGAATTGAGAAAAACTCTACAAAAGAATGGCAGAAAAATACTAATTCCTAGAAAAGGATGGGGACTAGATAAAGAATGATTCAGATTCAAGCAGATGCTTTATTTTATTTTCAAAGACACCAAAATTAAAATCCGTATATTTAGGGACCAACGAGCAGCAAAAAGTACACCAAAGCCAGCAGAAGAAATAACGCCATTACTACAAATACATATACACAGAAACAGGGAAACAAGAATACAAAATAGGAGCAGCAAAGGATTACACAATAAAACCGGGTGAGGAGACAATGGTAGAACTGAAAAACATGGGAGATACGAGCAAAATGACAGAAAACATGAGCTATACCTAGTTGTAAATACAACCTGGACGGATTGGCGAAAAACCAGATCAATATAAAATCAGATATTTTTGGGGGCGAAAACAACCTTGCTATCAAATTAGAAACTAAAACAAAAATCCCAGTGGCATTATTTGAGGGAACCACAATAGCACGTGTGGAAAAAGAAACACAGGAAAATTACTAATATAATTTTTATTACAGGAAGCAATAAATAATAATAATAGTGAAAGCGTTACATTAGAAGATCACAAGATACGTTGGGAAAGCCTCTCTGGAGTTAAGTCTCCCCTGTTTAAGTACCTCTGGTTGGGAAAGCCCCTCTGGGTATCTTCAGCCTTATCGTTGTCCAGCGCAATTGCCTCTCGTTGGGAAAGCTCCTCTGGACAAGGCATAAGGGTGACGATAACTAACCGACAGTCCCCCAAGCAGCAGTGACGTATGGCTTCCTATAAGGACCCCAGTGTTGGAAGGGTCATGCATCCTATAGGACTAGCATATATGTGAGGGTATATTTGGGAAAAATATATATCTACACTTTTATATAACTTGAGCGAGTTTCTGTTCATCAATCCCCAAAGCTACAAACCCCCCATGTCACCCCCGCGGGCAGTTGTGACAATATCCAACAATACTTATTCATTACTCGAAGGACATAGGTACGTTGCGAGCATGGAGAGCCATATACAGGGTTATCTAACATACAACGGAAACTGGACTCTTCCTGACCTGGTCACATCAACTCTAGAAATATGCATGGCTTCTGTCTATCCTTTAATAGCTTATCCCCCTATCCCCCTAGCTTTCTCGATATATCGGTTCGAGGGGTTATCAAAGACACCATTTAGGTATGCCTCAAGTCACTTTTCTATGTCTGTTACTAGACAATGGACTGCATTTGTTGTGGATTTGCCTTGCTACTCAAATTGTCTTAAATGAAGGGGTCTCTGTTATCTAGAGTTTCGCTTCTGATATATTGGTCTATTGCTTTCTCCCTTGATTTAAGGAGAAAGGTATTCAGCTAATATGTTTGTCAGTTCGTTGGTAGAAGTTTTATATAAATCAGGAAACAGAATTCGTCTATCATTTTTCAGTTTTCATCTGTCTCCGTGTCTAAATATAAAACTAACTAGGTACTATGGCATTTTCCCAAATATTTTTGGGAAGCTCTCCTTCTTTCATAAATTCTATTAATAAGTCCAACTACTCTGGTATTTTCTGTTGTGTTTCATATCATTTTGATCTATTTTCTTATTTATATATATCGGATATTTCTTCCGCTCCTATATTTAAAAACCTTTCTTGCGATGGTTCGGTTTTCGAAGTTTTCTGAAAAGGTCGAGACGTATATCCCAAAATAGTTGCTTATTCTATTATTTTTTCTGTGTCGCTTTTTTCCATGTTGCCTTTAGTATATTGAGGTATTATTTGCGTTCTGCCTGCAGCTCCTCGGAGTATTATAGATTTTCATTTTCGCTTCACTTCCTCGATACAAAAGCTTTTCATATTTAAAGAGGATCTTTACCAATTATTTTGTTGATTCTTTAGATATCGAATCAAATCAATCTTTATAGTTACGACACCACTGAGACTTTTTTTGAATCAATTATGGTAGTATGATAGGTAGATATTATAAATTAATTCGAATGTGGGAATTGGAAATGTACCTACGATATTTTTTCGGTTAAAAATTACCCCGGATTGAAGAATCTGTAACAGAAAATTTATCTTACTCTAGCTAGTTTAAACCGCTTCTATTTTAAAATCCCAGAGTGAATTTCCTTTTTCCATTTTAAAGTTAAATAACAAATGGCGAGCTAGTAGAAACTATTTCAATGTGATTACTCCAATATGCTTTTATCTCAAAAGCTCTTTTTCATTTGTTTTTTTGAACTTGATAGACATTCAATTAAAATTTTATAATGTCTAACAAGAAACTATTATGAATACGGGGCTATTAAAAATAAAACACGTCATTTAGAAACCTATTTATAAAGAAAAAATTTATAATAAAATTAA